AGACTGACAAGGCCTGAGGGTTTGAACTTCTAAGTCCTAAACCCGAACTGCTAAACCCCTGTATAAACCCCCAAACCCTCAACCACGAAGCCCCATAAACCCCTAAACCACTAAGCCCCTAAATCCTAAGCCTCTACAGCCTATAAAACCCTAAACCCTAAACCCTAAACCCTAAACCCTAAGCCCTAAACCCTAAATCCTAAACCCTGTTGGGTTTGGGGATTCTAGGGCCAAGAGCCGCCTAAAGGCCAAGCCATCACAGAGGCTTCAACAATCAGACCCCTAGGCTCCCTGTACCCATAGGGCTTTGGGTTTAAGGTTTAGGGTTTATAGGCAATAAGTTATGGGGCTATATGGTATATATATATATATGTATATTTATATGTTCACACACGCACACATAGAGAGAGAGAGAGATGTACTTACGCATTAAAGTGCCCATATAGGAGTTCCGTTAAGGCTGAAGTCTTTGAGTACATACTATATAGCAAAATAGAGCCTCAGGACAGAAGCTGTAAAATTATAGTAGACTTCTTTGTAGAGAGTGGAATGGGATGCCAATAGCAGTCTTCTCATCTAGTCTCATCCTCTTGAGGTCCCGTAATTGCAGTATGATTTTCGGGGACCCGGGAGTGCATTCAAAGATTAGGTTAAGCAGTCAACCCCGCAGTACACTTGTGGCCTACAAAACGTAACCGGATGGAGTCGCTTAGAGGCTCAGGGACGGGAGCGTCTAGCTATCTCGGAACCTGTGTCGAAATCATAGCTCTGGCTTTCTCTCTCACAGCATCCAAAACTCTACGATCGCAAGCAAGAGTGAGCGTGTGCTGGAACGCGCGAGTTGAGTTCCTTTCCGAAGCATTGAGGGGCTGCCCTCAAGAACCACAGGGCCGTAAAGCTGCAAGGGGACGGCAGGTTGCAAGAGGCACAGGAACATAGGTTGCCGGGATTGCACATTGACTGCAGAGAGGAACTGCAGGTTGCAGTAACCCTAGAACTAAAGTGCTTAGGAATAGGAAGGTTAAAAGGGCCAGGCCCCCAATTGCAACTTTTTTCATAAAAAGCCTACATCCTTATTACTACGAAGGCGTTTCGAGGTTAGGGATTCTGAGTTATTCGGACCTGAGCCACATGGGCCGAGGCTCCCCTCATGGCCACAGCCTTGGCACTCCGTGCCCTCAACGCCTGGCCCGGCGATGAGTGAAGGGCTGCAGAAAGGCTGGGCTCGATTGATGAAGCTAAAGTAAGCTTAAATACCCGTGGGTAGCTTTTTTTTGCGCTGCATTTGTTTAGCCCCTTGTTTTGGGCTATGCTTTCTTATAAATGGATCTCTAGCATCGGGTTTGGTTGAGGGTTTATGGGCTTTGAGGTGTAACATGTCAGGTCTATGGTACTTGTAGGTTGCTTACGACCAAAGGCAACAACAAGAATGAACATCCATACTCTCCATATTTTGCCGTTCCCGAACCCTCAGCCTTCATTCTCAAGCCCCAAACACAGGCCCTATATGGTAAATGCTCGTTCCCAACCCCCTTCCCAAACGGCAATCCCTTAACAATTCCTGAACTTCAAAAACCCTCAGCTTGAAGCCGTAACCCCTGGCTCTAAACCCCAAACCGCTGATCACCAACACCCAACATGATGTGCAAGCTCTGGGTTTACGATGTGTAAAGTGTACGTCTCGTTTTTTCGGAAATGGAACTTCGGTTTGAACGGATGCAGTGTTTTTTCAGCTTGTAGTTCAGGATACGGGTAGCTGCAGCTGTAAGTCTCCTCTGCGCGAGATTTTAACGGGAAGCAGATACGTGGAAATGTGAAAGACGCGTGAAGCTGAATGTGACGCACTCCCTTGTGTGAACATATCTTCATGCCTGGGCCTCATACTACCCATAGGCTCCAAGGTAGTTCCTTTTTGTGGTTGATATTTAGGATCCTATAAGGTAATCAGTAATCCCAAACAGGAACTACTTTGGAGCCTATGGGTATTGACGGAGTAGAGTAAGCTGATGTCCACATGCGATGCCACCAGACCCGATGGGCAGCAGGAGAGAGCCTAAAGCCAACTTTATATGGGAGCTTCGGGTTTACGGCTTGCGGCCCTAAACCCTATACCCTATAAACCCCATAAGCCCTAAACCCTATAAACCCTGAACCCTAAACCCTATAAACCCTAAACCCTAAGACTGCCTCCTGGCGTGCTTCCGGCGAAGTCACGACCTCCGAGTTGCGACCCTGCTCGACAAGGTTCAGTCCATGTAGGGTTTGGGGTTTGGGGTTTAGGGTTTAGGGTTTAGGGTTTAGGGTTTAGGGTTTGGGGTTTAGGGTTTAGTACAAGCCCTATAGTGATAAGCCCATAAAGCAAACACGAAACCCTCCAAAACATGGCGCTCAAGGAAAAGAAAACCAAGCCGACTGTGGCATCCAGGTGTGTCGTCGGCCCTGGTTGCAGCAGCCGCATTTTTGGGAGCTGGTGCTATCGCGAGAAGGCAGGCCTTCTTGTTTGCTTATTTGTTTGTTTAGGGTTTGGGGCGTTTAGAGTTTAGGGTTTAGGGTTTGTTTGTTTAGGGTTTGGGGCGTATGGGTGCAGAGCCTTCAAAACCTTGAAAAGCTTGCCCAGAGTAACTAGCTGCCAGGATTCTGGCACCTCTGTTTTCATCCTTCGCCCAGCTTTTTCGGGTGTGACAAGGTCGAGGATGAGATTTCTACAGCTCTCTGACTGCACCGGGTGGTTTAGGGTTCAGGGTTTAGGGTTTTAAGTTCAGTGTTCAGGGCTTTGGGGGTTGGGAAGACCCTCACCAGGCGGATAGCGCCTACAAGAGCAACGACGTCTCTCAGAGTGCCAGCCATGGGCTTGGCAAGCTTCGCAGCATAGGAGATGTGAGATTGGAGTTTCGCTATGCTGTTTTTCAGGGGTCTAGGGTTTATGATTGAGGACTGTTGGCGTTCATCGGCTGGCATTCAGTGTTCGACAAAGTGCTGCAGGGGGGGGCTCCACATGACGTCAGTGTAGTTGTATGTTCTGCTTATCGCAACTTGATCTTCCCATCCTTGCGACGCCCTGAAATGGTTCACTCACGATGTATCGTTCTGTAGGCCGCCCTAGACCTGACTCGCTTTTGGTGTCGAGGTTGCTATGGCTGCGCGCAGACGCCGTGACGATGTGGATCCACTAGATCACCTGACACTCGGATTCCAACCCAGCAACGCAATGGCATTTGACACCCGCAGGCATCGGGGAAGCTCACTTGTCGGTCGGAAGTTCATGATAGCAGTGATAGCATTCATGAACTGTTTCGGGTTTAGGGCTTCCATGGAACCTGAACAGACATGCAGCTCCTCAATCTAGGTGCCAACCAATCAAGAACCCGCCAGACACCTATTATAGAAGCCGGAAGAACTAGTAATTCGTTAGGACCCCAAACTCTTTTCAGACGTCTTTATTAGCCACTTTGGCGCCTGGTTGTGCAGCAACTGCCGTCTCCTATGTGCGATCAAAGGAAGCATCAACATAGAGGACTCATCACAGAATCTTCGAGACCCCTGTCTTCCCAACACAGCCCTAAGTCCATAATATAGCGGTCGGAATAGCTACCAATAAGGTTCCTTAGGGCTCCTTGTCGTAATTGCAGCCCAAAAAACCCTCAAAACCCCTACTCTAATTACTAGGGCCCCTACGTACGAACTGTGAACCCCAGAACCCAGAATAATGGCGACCCCTTTCTCTTTTTGTTTCTTAGGAAGTATTTCTTTCTGTGTCAATATACAACTTATATGAGGGTTAACACACCTGATAATGCTTTACGGTTCTAAGGGCTTTATAGTTCCGTAGCGCAACTTAATGAACCCTGCTCCCGTGCCCCTTGTAGTACCACCTAATTTTTAAATACAGGTACCCCTTATACTAAGCCCTAAATCCTAACGGTTAGGTTAGCGGCTAAAAAACCCCTAACTCCTAAACCTTCAAAAAAGCCCTGAAAGCAGGGAAAGCCTAAACCCTAAACCCCTAAACCCTAAACCCTAAACCCTAAACCCTAAACCCCTAAACCCCGAAACCCCTAAACCCCGAAACCCTAAACCCTAAGCCCCTAAACTCTAAGCGCCTAAACCCTAAACCCCTCAGCCTTTCTTTTCCGAGGACACCCCGGCGGCCGGACATGGCACCAGGGGAGCGGCTGTTCGAGCAGGTCTATAGGCGTGGCTCCCAGGTTTAGGAACCCAAAAAGAACATAAGGGATATCCCCTACCTTATTGGGCTTCATGATAACGGGGGTTTACATGGGATATCCCTATCCTAATTTTTGCTTATGTGCTTTTTGGGGGGTCCTACAGAAGGCTTTGGGTTTGATGGTTTTGGGTTATACAAGCTGTTGTCTCTTTACTTTGCGTTTCTGCTTGAAGGGGCTGTCTATAGGGATCCTTACTGGGGAGATATAGGGGCCTATATTTGATAGTTAGGGTTTAGGGTTTAGGGTTTAGGGTTTAGGGTTTAGGAGATAAAGAGACCACCAGCCTGTCTCTTGAGGATCTGAGGTTCCTGTTTAGGGCTTAGGGTTTAGGGTCTAGGGTTCCTGTTTAATTTAGGGTTTAGGGTTTAGGGTTTAGGGTTTAGGGCAACCCATGAGTCAAGGTTTTCCGGGTCGGAAGACTTACCGATACTTGCACTATATGCGTACAGTATATGATATACCCAGAAACCCTAATTATCCAGGCCCCCAGCGAGCTTCGGGTTCTTGGGGGCAAGGGCTTAGGGTTTAGGCTGAGATACGAAGTATTGAGTGTGGGCGAAAGGAGATGGGGAGCTGGGCTGGGATGCAAATTGAACGTACTGGGTTTAGGGGTTTAGGGCTTGGGGTTTAAATTAGGGTTTAGGGTTTAGGGAGAGTTTCGGGTTCAGTATCGGGTGAACCTGTGCGCTTTGCATCAGGCCGAACATGCGAACCGCAGACATGCCTCCGGAGGACGAGGAGGAGAGAAGCGATGGCAGCCATGGCAGCTGGTAGGCATACCTAGCAACCTCTGGCAAAGGCCAATACAGAAGCCGGAATAATTACCAACACCCTTCTCCGTGGTTTCTATAGTATATTAACAGTAGTTTTGGCTGTAAGCATTGTAACCGCTTCCGTGAAGATGCGAGCCTATAGAGACACCCGCGGAGGACATTGGGCAAGCTCCTCGAAAGAAAAAGCCGGCTCCTGAGAAGATGTGCAGCTCATAGGGGTTCCTCTGTCTCCTCAGCTTGCGATGCCCAAAAGCTCCCTCCCGGAAGGCGCAAAGCAGCATGGCTCGAAGCCAACCAGGAGTTGAAAAAGGATCCAGCCTACGGCAAGAAGTGGGTTCTGGCCCCTTGGGCCGCAAGGAGATGACTGGACTTTTTGGGGGAGTGGGTTTGTCATAAGCCCCTGGATCCGAATCCCTGGAATTGCGGTCGGAAGATGAGCCTCGTCCCACAAAGCCTGTGAAAGCTGCGGAGCGGGTGCCTTGCAAACATGGACCGAATCAGGAGCGCCTGTCGATTTCGCAAATGAAGGAGCACAGAAAACGAAAGGTCTGTGACGACAAGTGTCAACGTGCGACTCGCGCGCACGAACAACTAGAGCACGAACAACGGCAAAGTAATTCCAAAACCCTAAACCCTCTATATATATAATCCCTAAACCCTCAACCCTGACTTTTTGTGGCGAATAGAGGCCCCTAGCTGATGTTGCTACTTCCCTTCAGTTGCGGCTGCCGTCAAGCGCCAGGACAGAGAAGCCCATAAACCGGTTGTAAGTCAGTGTCTGGGAGGTCCTACACCGAATTCACTGAAAACCTTGATGACGCCGAGCACATTCAGCTATTGCGAGATCACTGGTCAATATAAGTCATGAGTTTATCACCAGAATGGCTTCTGCGGCGCTCGCATTTTCTGCGCTCGGCTGTCCAAGCTTGTCTCGGCCCGTTTGACAGCGACGAGGCTGCCAAGGTTGTACCACTATCAGAGGCGATCCGGCTCCGCATTTCTGCCTGTCCCGCTGCACCGACGACATTGGTGACGAAATCAACCACTGAAGGCGCTGACAGTGAGAACAGTATCAATGAAGTCGTAGCTGAAGATGTGCCTTGCTCCCGCACTGCATCCTGCAAATGCACCGAGTGCAAAGCAGCCATGGCTGCTGTCATGGGCTTTCAATCAGGGGCGCCAGTGGCTGCGCCTTCATCCCGAACGGACCCTCAACGCGAAATGCGACAAAAGTTTCTGCAAATGTCGGCTGCCGAACGATCTGAAGTTTTGTGCGGCGATGACCAGACGTTGGCGAAGGCCGTGGGCACATGGCTACAGGACATGATTGGGGCGACCTCCGCAACTCGCACGCAAATGCAACCCCAGGAAGCTCTCGTTGCAGCCCTAGATGAAACAGCGATTTGGCAGCACGAAGCTGCTCGACGTTCAGCCAACGTCGCAGAAGAAGAAGAAGAGAAGGTCATCTTGCCTTTTCGCTCCGACACAGTTTTGGCTGCACTCTTGCGTGGTGGTGGTTTTGAAGCTGTTGTGGCACTTTGTGGTGGCCCTGCGGACTGTACCCGCTGGCGCGCTCTCTCTTTGCTGCTTCATTGCAGGTGCTGCGACGGAAACCAACTTGCCCAAAGAACTGCCGTGCCGTTCCTAGAGCCAGACGAGTATGCAAGCTCTCCTCGCATACATCACCTGTCAGACAAGGTTTACACCCAATTCTACGACGTTGACGCCTGGCTTGCGCCAATGGTGGATGCGGGGTTAACTCCGCAAAGTCAGCTGGTGGGGTTAACACACCTCGAGCTCGAAGCCCTCGACCAAGCGTGTCAAGTTGTAAGCAAACGAGCTGCAACGTTGCCCGCAGAACCACATGACACGGCAGATGCGGTTTGGGACTACCTTACCACTCACTGCAGTGCGGCTGATGTCCTCGTTCAACTTGCAAAACGTCTCGACGTAGCATCGCGGACACTCCACCAGAGCGCTGCAGCATCATCGTCATCATCAGACTCGTTTTTTGTGAAATTGAGCACACGGTCTCCCAAGGATTCATCCCTCTTTGCTGCTAGAGCTGCCGCTGCTGTTGGTCTGGACGCTCAATGCGAGGGCTCGCCCATGCGAGTGGAATCTGGCGGGGAGGCAATTGCTTTGCTGACGACTTCCGAGCGGGTGCGCGCCGATGTGCGAGAGACTCTACTCCTGGCTGCCCCAAGCACTCTCACGTCCAGTGGTGACTGTGAGTTAGCCACGCATAGTTTGATGTCCGTTGTGGTACGAGAGTGGTGGTATGTACCGCGTTGGACCGAAATGCGTGGTTTCGTGCGCCGGGCTAGCGCCAGGCACGGGAATCGAAGACGCCTTACTGCCCTTTCAGTGTACAACATCGACGACTCGCCACTGGACCAGTCTTCATCCTCGGACAATGCATTGGCGAAAAACGCCATGCAAGTGCGGGCTGCGCTGACCAAGTTTGTTGAGGCTCGTCTTGATTCGGTCCTTGACGCGGCGGATCTTGACCACGCCGTTGTCGACTTTGCTCTGCGTCCCTGTGACACGGAAGCCGTGGCAGACTTGCAACTGCCAAGCAACCTGCAGCGTGGTGACAGCGGCGGTAGTGCTGCTGACAGTGCATTTTGTGCCAGGTTTCAGATTGTCGTGCTGGAGCTCAACTCGTTTGGTTTCCGCAGCAGTGGAGCGCTCTTTGACTGGCGCGACGATGAGGATGCCACAATACTGTTCGAAGGGGCGCCTGGTGGTGGACCACCACCATTCCGAACCCAAGCAGGTGAAGTGTGATGAAAAACTGAACGATCAGGGTCCAGGCCGCCTCTCCCGCCGCCGTTTGCGTGTGCAGGACTCAACTTGTGGCTTCAACACAAGCGCCGAATGCAGCATTTATGTAGAAGCTGAAACAGTTGCCAAAATTATTCCCTGAGGCTCCTGATTATAAACTCACTATATAGTGTAACACTATACCGCTACCAGGACCCCTATGTTACTTATAGGGAGACCACAGGTGTTCCGTAATTCTCCCTCGAACTGACTCGAAACTAAGACGACAGATCCTAATCCCAACCTCAGAGACCTACACCCAACCCTAAACCCTATAAACCCTTTGTCCTATGTAACCCCAAGCTCAGAGACATAAACCCAACCCTAAACCCTGTAAACCCTTTCTCCTATGTAATCCCAACCCTCAGAGACGTGAACCCCGTGACTATGATGGCCGTCTCCGGCGACCGAGGACCCGAAGGGAAAGCGGCGAGGAAGGCACAGAAAGAAGAGATGGTCACAGGGAGAAGTGGTGGATGAGGTGCAGGACACACCCGGGAAGGCTCTTCCTCCACCCTACTATGCGGGGCCTTAATAATTAGAATAGGGTGTTGGGGGTGCCTTATTATAGTTATAGTGCAATATACGCTCAAAGCAATTCTAATTACTAAGGCCCCTACATGAAGCCCTAAACTCAAGATTTACGACAAGGTTCCGCTTTCTGCAAGCAAGCCCGGATTTTACTGGCAACCCGGGAGGGAAGAATCACGGTTCAGGGTTCCAGGGTGAATGTGAGTCTTTCGCCCTATACCATACTCTGAAGTCTAGACTACACTAAGACCTGCAACGAAGCACTTCGCAAAAGTGCGTGTCGGAGCCCAAAATCGCACATATTAGGCTGTGAGAGCTCTTACAAGCTTCAGCCTCAAGTTCACTGGCACTGTCATGAGGGAGCCCAGCGTCTCGCCATGATGACGCCTCGAATGACACCCGAAGCCATGTCAGGGTCCTCGGGAATAAGCCAGCTAGTCCTTCAAGACCCGATAGTCGACAGGGGGAAGGGTTTCGCGGAAAGTGCTCGATGTTTTCCTAGCCGTTTCGGGAGTATGGGGGCTAGTAGTATGGGGCACGTTGGCTCGGATATGCTCGAACCACCTATTACTCCAACCTAACTGCCGTCACTTTGAGGACATTGACAAAAATGCCTCGCGTTTGCGGACCATGTGCGCCACCGTCTTCACGCACGGCTTTGCGTCTGTTTGCTGGATTTCGACCTGAATTCCCCCGAAGTCCTGACCTGCTTAGAAGTACCAGTCCTTGCAGTTTCGATGGAAATACAGGGTGTAGGGTTTAGGGTTTAGATCTGCTGGCTAGGTTCTTTAGTCCGGATGTAGTGAAGTCAGGGGAATCAGCATAAAGAGGGTAGGAGCCACACCAAACGAGGGCCAGCACACAAGACCAGCATTACCAAAGCATACTGCCAAGTAGCATAGTTCTTGAAAGAACTGTGGGAAGAAGAAGAAGCTTGCCGATGTCATGTGGAGGGAGAGGGATTGCAACATGGCATGTTAACTCCACATAGGGCCGGGGATTTGTGACGAAACCCTGTCTACCCCCTAAACCCTAAACATCCCTAAACCCGAAACCCTAAACCCTAAACCCTAAACCCAGCAGGACGTCGGCTAAGATGAAGTAGTTGGGACTGAGGGCTCGAATAACCGATGCTTGCCGCACCGTTCGGACAACAATGCGGCCTGACCTCTAGGCCCCCTCAAGAGCTCTAAGGGTTTAGGGTTTAGGGTTTAGGGTTTAGCGTTTAGGGTTTAGGGTTTAGGGTTTAGGGTTTAGGGTTTAGGGTGAGCCTAAACCCCTGAACTCAAAACCTGAAACCCTGCGTCTCTGGTTTCCCAGCAGCTGCTCCTCATGGATGGTCTAACTGGATCTAGTGCGTCGGGTTTCTGTTGCTGGGCTGTTCAGTGGTATTTCTGTTAGTCGGCTGTTCAGTACTGCTTTTGGCTTCCTGGTACAGTGCAACATCATCGAACTAACAAATAAAGGTATGTACCTTCTCCCAGCAGGTTAGCGAACAGCCGTTGGGGATGTCAAACTGGGCTAACATAGGGGCCTAGATAGTTAGCAATACTGTTGTGGGGGGTTCTTTGTAGTATAATATTCCCCCAAACCCTATTTTAGCGATTAAAGTATATGGTACTCTAAACCCTAAACCTTAACCCTGAGCCGTAAAGCCTAAACCGAGTAGATCGAGACGTCATCTGAAGAATCAGGTAGTGAAGAATCCTAACCAAAAGAACCTAAAGGTCACAAGTAGGCTCGTGCATTACCGGCAGTATTCAGCGTTGTAGAGCTTGGGGGCAGTTCAGGGTTCAGTTATGGGGGCCGATGGTCGGCAAGGCGCTCACATGCCCCTTGTCTCTCTTGCAGGTATAAGCGTCCGCGGTTCAACTGGAAGGAGGTGTCCAAGGACGACCGATGGATAATATGGGAGTCTGATGAACAAGTCCGGACTCTTAATATGGATTCTAATATTTTGGAGTTGCAGGACCAGAGTTTCTTGATCAGGTTCCTACATTAGGATTGGTTACCATCGGGCCTTGCTATATTGTTACGCGTGTGATCAGATTCCAAGACACGATCATGGAAGCTTGGGGGCCAAGAGCAGAAGCCGTGTACGAACGCAATGACGCAAGTCCAGGAAGTCGTAGCAAATTGTGGCAAAATCACTCTGTGAAGGAGCATCTCCACATCCCCGTAGTCTGTGACTCCAACGCCATCCCCGGAGCCCTAGAACAACAAGCCTAAAACCTAATACGCTCTGGAGCTGTAAACCCTTACAAGCTCTTGCAACCGAAGCCTACTGGTATCAACTTCGAAACCCCGAAGTCTTGAAGCGAAACGCTAGTGTGTCAAAGCCCTGAATGCTGAAACCTCAAGCCCTGCAACCCTACACCCTAGAAGCCCTAAGTCAAAGGCTTAAGCCCCACGACTTTAAACCCGCAATCCTACACCCTGGAACGGCGGCGTGGTGTCTTCAACAAGAACGCAACCGCCTGTCGGGAGTGGGGGCCACATATGGCTGCGCCGCCTAATTCTTCTGCAACTCTCCTTGTTCCTACAACTAGACTTGCGGAATCTTGGGGAGGCCGGAGTTGTGAGGAGGGAGAGCACCGGCGAGGTGCCGTTTGAAGAGGGCGTGTGGGAGGAGCACCGCCTCCAAAAAGCAGCCTTTGCACGCCACATTGGCAAGATCCAGGTAGGCCCTGACGTTCCTGAACGGTTCCTGGACGGCCCTGGACGATGGGAGACAAGACGTGCCGGTGCAGCCGATCACCCATCCCTCACTGCCGGGGCAGCCTTGGGTCCTTGCTAAGGCTTGAAAGCTTCAAATCGTCTCGCCCGAAGCTGCCTAAGCACCCAACTAAACCACTGCAATCGCACTGAGCCTGCCAGCCACTAGCCTGTTAAAGCCGCATCTCTTGGTTCAGTCGTGGCTCAACCGTCATCCTCCTACTTGCGGCATGACACGTAGCTTTGCCCTTGCAGTCTGCATGACACAAACCATGGGGACTGGGCAGGCCGGTAGCTGGCTTTGATGGCCCCCAGATATTCCAAAGCCCCTTTATTAAGGAAGATCCTTTAAATCAGATCCCCAGGCCCTATAAACCCTAAACCCTAAACCCTATAAACCCTAAACCCTAAACCCTTTTAATCAGATCCCCAGGCGCTATATAAACCCTAACGAATTTAAAGGGTTTTGGAGTCTGTGGGCCGACCCGACTCCCGCATGATTGCCTCTCCCAGCCGCACCTCGAGAGAACTGCTGCGGTATGTTATTTCTGTAGTTAATTCATTAATACTTAATTAATTAATTGATTGATCAATTAACCAATGAATAATCAATTAGTTAATTATTAATTCACTAGTTACTTGTATAGTTACTTAATTAGTAAAACTTGTTGAATCGTTGATCAACTATAGTTATATATCGAGATGATGATACTGATAATAGATAGTGCAAGTGCGTTGCAGGGCTGGTCCCGAGGTTGGCGCGCAGCAAATTCCGTAAACCCTTCGCTGTACACTTCCCGTCCCACTCGGCTCACTGGTCGCTATCCACAGGGTTTAGGGTTTAGGGTTTAGGGTTTAGGGTTTCCGTGTCTTATGGACCTTGTCGACCTCTGCTTTCGTTTCCGACTTCATGCGATGGGTCGCAGAAGGTCAGAACGTCTTCATAGTCAAGGCACCTTGCCGGGCATCTTCAAGAAAGCAGCCTCTTGGACGCTTGCCGCTTGCTGCACCCTGAAATTCGGGGTTCGCAAAGTGCTCGCTCTCAGGCTCGGCGAGCCGTCTTGATGCGGTTGGGCAGCTGCCCATTGCACCTCCCGCTTGTTCCTAGTTAGCCTCCCTCCCCTCCCTTGACTTGCGTTGGTCTCTAATTGGGTTACATTCAGATAACGGCCTCCTTCCCATAGTAAACACCAGCATCACAACCCGATCAGACGAGTTCCAACACCTCGCTACCACTTTCCGAGATGTGTTGGCCGAGTGGCACAGCCTTCCAGCACCGCCCTGTGCTGGTTTAGACGGTTTTCCCAGGTACATCTTGCCCCTCCCTGACTCCGCGCACCTACCGCATTTTCGAAGAAGCCTTCAAAACCCTTGATTGTCCTGCAGGTTTGTCTGCCTAGTTGCCCTCAGACAATCTCGCCACTCTCTCCTAGATTGACCTGCACCTCTTCATCATGTTGGGACGAGGACGACTGGCAGTGGCAGTGGCGACACTGGCTCCAACCTTCGTGCCAGAGAGCTTCGCCCGCTTGCCCCTTCCCCTCCTTCCCTTCGCGTTGCTCTTCCCTCCCTCCCTGCCCGCCCGCTCCCCTGTGTAGATCCGCCTCTTCTTGTGTGGCGGCCGCAGGGCGGGACCCTAAACACTAAACACTAAACCTCACCTCAACTACAGCCTCGCAGCTGTAAGCCTTTCCGGGCCCTTCCGAAAAAAAATCCAA